ACAAAGCCGGGGACCCCGCGGCCGGCGGACAGCCCAGATGCGCTGCGGCTGTCCCACTGCCGGCGTCCTCAGAGGCTTTGCTCCCCGTCTCTCTGGTCTGCTGGTCTCCAGCAGACCAGGGAGACGGGCAGCAAACCCCGTTCGTAACTGCGGATCTGACATAAGTCGGATCCGCGTAACTCGGGGACTGCCTGTATGTTGAGTTATGAATTTTTCTAAAATGGGTATTATTTCTGTTTCCCCATTAATGTTGTGCACCATTACCTACTGAACTGATGGACATAAGCATATAACACATTTCAGATTATTTTTATTACAGTAATTCCTCATTTAACATGTGCCCGCTTAACACGTTTTTGCAATGGCACGATATTTTTTTAGGGAACGTATTTTGAATTACATGACCGTCCCTGGAATAACACGATTTTCCTAACCAGCCCATTGCCAGCGGCTGCGCAGGGCTTCCCCCGCCTCCCTACAAAACGGCGGAGGGTTTGCCGCTCACTGCGCCGTTCCCCAGCAACCCCCCTCGCCGGATACAGTGCGGGTCCCGACAGACCCATCACAGGGGCATACTCCCAACCCAATCTCCTTCCTCCTCTCCTCCCCTTTTCTTCCCCAGAGCCAAACGCTTCCCCTCCCTGCTGTAACCCCATCCCCTTTCTCCACCAACCTTATGTCCCGGTTCCAACAGACACCACCACTTGAAACGCAACCCCCACCTTTTCCATTATTTTCAAAGGAAAAACTGACCCCACATAACACGTTTTCACTTAACACGATCATTTTCTGAAACATATCTATAGTGTTAAATGAGGAATTATTGTACAGCACTAATATAGCAATTATCGTTTGCATAAATACCCCCAGAAAAAATACCAGAAGAATTTTATTATATGAATACTTATACTGAGTATGCAATCACCGGTATTTTCTTGTGGAACTGCATTTATTACTATAAATACAAGTATAAACAAATATTTGGACCAAAACCCAAATCAAGACTGAGTAGAAATTATGAAGTCATAAGATAAAACACTTAGTTGCAATGCTGTTAATGAAAATATTACATATGAATTTGAATGCAAGTTCTTTTTAATTTTGTAACATTTGATGATACAACACCAACAGCCTCTTAAATCAGATCATCAGATCCTCACATCATTTTTAATCACAGTGGGATTCATGCACAGATATACATAATGTTTCATGTAACTTCACCCAACACCAAATGTTCCTAAAAAAGAATTATTGGTCATTAACACTATTTGTTTTGCAGTCTGAAAGGACTAGGCTAGACTAGGAAAACAGATTGTGTTTAATAATCTGTTAACACATATTAAATAATGTTTTACAACACAATCTATTTCCCAAATCTACGCATGCCTGAAACTTAACTCAGTTTTCTGAATGCACAATTTGCAGCTGCATGTTTATAATTACAGCCATTACGATTTTTTTAAAAACTTGAAAAATATTGAGAACATCTGCATATTGAAGATTTCAAGAACTATTTATTTTGTATTTCAAATAATGTTCTATAATTGTTTTTGTGGATATACACTAGGGAGTTATCTTGAAATAATCCCCATTATGTTGAATTAATAAGTGGAGTGTCCCCACTACCAAGCCCGTTATTTCAAAATCTGTACTCCTGCTTTCCTTGGGGAATAATGCTTATTTCAAAATAGCATTAGTGTGGACACTCTGCTGGTGCTAACTGAAATAACTGGACTCCAGAGGCCTCTCGTGGCTGCAGTTCTGAGCGTTCTGGTGATACCTGGCATCTCCACTGCTCCCCATCTCCTACAGACCTTAAATCTCCAGGCAGAAGAAAAAGGGCTTCGGCCACATGGCTAGCTTTGCAAGCCCCATGCCACACAGCTGGATCTGATGGAGCCATGGCTGACCCCAGCATTCCCTCAGAGCCTTCCACAGCTGCTGCTCCCTCAGCTGTCACTGGCAAAGGATGCAGGAGACTGGTGCAGAGATCCTGCACCTCACTGAGGTCTGGGGGAGGAGATGAACCTCCAGGATCTCCGCACCAGAAAGTGAAATGAAGACATCTGTGGCTAGCTCACTGTCAGCCCGGTCAACAGAGTCCACAACTGAACCCTGGACCTGATTTGGATGAAGCTTAAGGAGTTCCAGCAGGCCCACCTAGCAAGGGAGCAGGCCTACAAGGCCTGAGAGCAGAACTGACACTCTGGGGCGGCACCACATACCCACTGCTACTTCGAGTAGCTGGATGCCATCCTGGGAGGGGAGCCAGTCACCTTCCCCCACATCGTCATGGAGTCCAGTCAGGACACGGTTGGTGTCAGCCTCCAGGAGGACAGGACTGCGGACTAGGAGAAGGAAGCCAGCCAGCCAGAGTACCATGCCCTCCCGCCAGGACCTGCTCCTCACCCTGGAGCCAGTCCCACACTCCCAGGAAGTCTCCAAGGCTTCGGATGAGCCGAGGGGAGGCACTTCAGATGAGTTCTCTAACTTTC